TGATGGAAAGTGTGACAATAGTTAAAATATTGTAGAAATGAGTGACTTCACAAAGTGACTGACTAGTGATGGAAAGTGTGACAATAGTTAAAATATTGTAGAAATGAGTGACTTCACAAAGTGAATAACTACTGATGGAAAGTGTGACAATCATTAGAATCTGCTGAAATGAGTGACTTCACAAAGTGAATAACTGCTGATGGAAAGTGTGACAATAGTTAAAATATTATAGAAATGAGTGACTTCACAAAGTGAATAAGTGCTGGTGGAAAGTGTAACAATCATTAGAATCTGCTGAAATTAGTGACTTCACAAAGTGACTGACTAGTGATGGAAAGTGTGACAATAGTTAAAATATTGTAGAAATGAGTGACTTCACAAAGTAAATAACTGCTGGTGGAAAGTCTGACAATCATTAGAATCTGTTGAAATGAGTGACTTCACAAAGTGACTGACTAGTGATGGAAAGTGTGACAATAGTTAAAATATTGTAGAAATGAGTGACTTCACAAAGTAAATAACTGCTGGTGGAAAGTCTGACAATCATTAGAATCTGTTGAAATGAGTGACTTCACAAAGTGACTGACTGTTGGTGGAAAGTGACAATTTTTAGACTATACAAAAAATGTGAGACTTAAATCACAAACTATGATAACTAACCCTAGTTAGACTAAAGCAAAAGATGCAAATAAAATGCTAACTTAACTTTGTTTTATTTAAGTCTTCACATTATAATCAGACATCCTAATAATATATACATGTATAGGTTTGTTGAGGATTCACAAATCAGCTAAAAAACCATACAATTATATTTAGTTGAAAAACAATTTTCAACTCACCAACCCATAAATTAGATTTATATTCAACATTATGTTCTTTCACAGCAAGCTCTTGAGCTTCTTTCAAAACCTGAAGAATGAAAGAAGAACATAAAAAATCTACTAGTAGTTTAACATAAATTTATACTATATGAGCTACTACTTTGTCTCTGTTCATACTGAAACAAAACGAAACTTCAGTTAGAACTATTATCTCAATTTTTTGTTATTAAAGAATTGGTAAGTTGGATTGTAAAAATTATTTCTCTTTCTGCTAAAATGTTTTCAACATTTATTTATTGCTTTTTTTTTTCTTATTCTTTTAAACAGCTTCATACTAGATTAGTTCTGTTTATAGTTTTGAATGATGTTTTGTTTTGTATTCTCATAACTATCCAGCTTTCTTAACCTAATATTAAGCCTTGTAATAAAATGATACAAGTTTACATTATAAGCATTTTCTGTACTAACCACTGTAAAGTAACCAGTAATTTACTAAGGTTTTCAACACTTTCAAGTGTTACGAAGCTTAATATATGAATCTAGACCTAAGATAAATATCCTAATCTGGCAGAACCTCATGAGATACAATTGAAATTACAGTCAAACATTTTGATAACAGCAAGGGTTGCAAACTGATCAAACAATGCATTCTAATCTTTACTCGATTAATTTTTAGTTCTCATCCATGTAGGTAGCTTGCTTTGATAAGAAGTCAGAATTGATTTTGTCAGTACAGTGGCATGTGTACCATTAAGAGACGTTAACATCTAACATTTTCATACCAGAGTAAAAACACTTTACTAAATGTTTGTGGAATAACAGGAGTGTACACAACAGTTACAATTTTATATTTTGAAATTAAAATGAATTTCTACAACGTATTTACCACTGAAATATAATAAGCCATTCCTTGTTGAGTTGTTCTCATGGTGTCAACATAGATGTAACTGAAGTTCTTAATGTTAGAAAATTCAATGTGAAGCCCAGTATACTGTCTACAATTTGGAAGAAAAAGTCTGATGTTTTGAAAATGTATGAAAACAACAAAATTGAGCCCCATCACAAATGTTTCCAGTTCTCAGCAGTGAACAATGTTGAGCAAGTATTGTTAAAATGGATTACCAACACACATTTGATGAATATTCCGATCAGCGGGCTCATTCTTCAAGTAAAAGCTAGAGAACTGGGACAAAATTTGAATAAACCAAACTTCAGAGCCAGCAAAGGTGGGCTGGAAAGATTCAAGTCTCGACACAACATCACCTTTAAATCGGTGTGTGGTGATGCTGCTGCTGTCAGCAATGATATGGTTGATGACTGGGTGTCAACATCATTACCAGCGCTAGTCGATGGCTATTCCCCAAGAGATATGTTTAAAGCTGATTAAATTGGATTATTTTTTCATTTGATGCCTGATAAAACTTTTACATTTAAAAATGAAGTCTGTTCATGAGGAAAATAAAAGCAAAGAAATAATCACGGTGATGCTGTGTGCAAATATGGATGGATTGGAAAAGCTAACACCACTCATCATAGGGAGATCAAAGAAGCCTCTGTGTTTCAAGAATGTGAACTCTCTACCTGTCAATTAACAGAAAAGTATGGATGGATAGCAATTTATTCAGTGATTGGATACAACAAGAAGAGAAGAAATTCGAATGTCAGAAAAAGTCCTCATTTTTGTCGACAATTACCCAGCTCACACAGCCATAGACAACCTAAAGTTAATAAAACTCAAGTTTCTCCCACCGAATACCACACCCAAACAATTTCAAGAGCTTTTACAAAAAATGCTGGTGTCTCTCAATTCTGAAGAAAATCTACCAACAATCAACATCAAAGACACAATAGTTATGCTACATTCATCGTGGCAGAAAGTTACCAAGTCGACCATTGTCAACTGCTTCCATAAAGCATCAATTGCCCATGCGTAAAATACCAATAGTCTCAGTATGGAAGTATAGGTTGATGTCAGTGTTGAAAACGATAATCCCATTAAAATTCTAATGAGATTCCCAATGAAGATGTCGGCTATCTCTGGGAAAGCCTGTCTTGATGCCTCGAGTTACCTGAGATATCATTTTTGGACTTTGTGGGTGTAGATGATGAAACTGAAGTCTGCGAGTCGCCATCTGATGATGACATTATTACTTCCATACTGGAACAACAAAACGATAAGCCAGATGAAGATGCTCCATTATTCTCTATCATTGCTGAAGAAGTGTCTTCAATGTCACTAACCGTGGATTGCTTAGTAAAGCTACACAGTTACCTCCAGTCTTGTGAAAGTGTTCAAACAACCATTTTTATATAAATGTCGCAGATTGAAGACATGATGTTTTCTATGCTGTGTTCAGGTTGCTGTCAAACCAAGATTATGGACGTTATTATGTAAGATTTTACCTTTTCAAGTACATTGACATAATTCTGTCTCAATGCATTGATGATGTAAATAATCCTCTTTAGTTGAAAATAAAAAGAATGAAGCTTAATTTTTGTGTTACATGTATTTTTGCAGGATGTGTGAGAAAAAATAACATTGCATTTTAATTATGGAAGCCACATTTGTTTTTTATGAAAGTGCCCTCTAGTGGCCAATCAGTTATAATGAACTCCTGCTATAATGAATTATTTTGCTGGGTTCCTTAGTTTTGTTATAGTGAGATTCAATTGTAGTTTGTTTTGTTTTGCTGTTAAGCACAAAGCTACACAATGGGTTATCTGTGCTATCCCCACAGTGAGTATCAAAACCCAGTTCTTAGCAGTATAAAAGTTATAATTTTCCTACACTGAAAATTTATTTCCGATACGTACTCACCCCTTTAACACATATAGCTATTCTCGTTCAGTGCTGCCCTCTATATGCAAAAAGTTTTTTGCATACCACAAGCCTTGAAACTCCCACCTACTCCATGATCAATGTGGTTCACTGCATCTTCACATGTAACTTCATCTTCATCATGCAACAATCCTCCATTAATAGGAGTGCAACACAGCTTCCTGATGCATGTGGCTACCTCTATTTGATTCTACCTAACCATCACCTCGAAATTAGGCAGAAAACAAGCACCAGTTTGAAGAAGGGAGGAGTGGTGGGAAGTGTGAGTACATGTCAAAAATAAATTTTAAGTGTAGGAAAATTATAACTTCTGATACAGTATCTTATCTACGCTTACATGTATAGCTAGAATCCCAGTTTGATTAGGTAGAGGGACCAGTGTGAGGGATATAGATAAACATCCTTCGAAAGTGTCCAAAGAACACCCATGAGGTGTGAACTCGCATTGGAAGAGGAACACATGTGGGAGACCGCACCACTTCTGCACCAGGTATACTCTTCACTCTGTGTGGTAATAGGTGTAGCATACACAGACAGAAACTGGAAGGAAAACATCCAAAAAAGGAAAGAAAACTAAGCAGGTGCAAACCGAAATCTCACAAATTACCAGAATCTCCATTCTGGATAAGAATGAATGAATGATTCCAACCCATAGACAGGAAGGTGGAGAAAGCTAAAATGGGTGTGTCCCATAGTGTAGAACGGCTAGGGCACATCAGACCATATTTGGCCAGTCAACTCCAGTCCAAAATCAGGTAGAATTGAGTATACATCATCTGACCTGTGGTAGGAGGAAAGTCCACATCGTCTTCACCTCAAGTTGAGTAGGATAGAAGGAGACAATTTTCATACACATCTACAAAACAAGGCACATGTGCACACACCCACAACCAATTATCTGGGAACTCAACATCTGAACGATAATAGGAAGGCATGTGTCAATGTGGTGGTTCTCTTCAAATCCAAAACCATTCAGCCTGGTTCCACTCAGCACCAACATCAGCCTCAGGTAATGAACCCCCAGAGGTGGAATGCGAAAGGGACAAAATTTGTCCCGGGTAACATCATCCTCTGAATAGAACCACACAAAAGCTAGGGCACACGTACACACAATATCAACCTCCTGGACCTACCTCACGGAGGTAGAATGCATGTTGAAAAGATGTGCAACATCACTCTTCTAATAGGACTTCACAGAAGCTGGAGTGCAGCTTTAACCTCCAGGATCCATTACACGGAAGTGGTTTGCTTACGTAACATATGTTCAACCTCACCCTCCAGATAGGATTGCAAAGAAGCAGGAGCACATCATCAAACCCCGGGACCCACCACCCAGAGGTGGAGAACATGCGGCAAAACCCAAGACTGAGGTAGGATGAGGAATCACGACCAACACAAATGAGGATTTAGGTTGATTGGTCCAGCTCTAATCCAAAACCACACACTGGGAACTGACATCCAGGTGATGGTAGGATGAAGTATCCAAATTGGAGAGGTGAACTGCAGTGTGACGGATCTAGTCAAAAGCAACATCGTCCTACTGATAGTACCACACAGAAGCTTGAGAGCAATGCCAACCTCTGGGTCCCACTGCACGGAAGTGGATTGCCTTTGTAAATATATGCAGCTTCACCCTCTGAATGAACCGCACAGAAGCTGGGCACATCATCAATCTCTGGGATCCACCACACGGAGGTACAACGTATTTGATTTGAGAATCAATGCCATCTACACCAGCATAACACCGCCACCCTACTCTCTACTGAATGTAGGTGATCACATTCAGGAGATTGAATAGCTATATGTGTGAGTGGAGGTATGATACCATATCCCGAACCTCAAACATACTGCAGAGCCACTGATGGGCAGACTAATAAAGATAACATAAAGCAGTAGGTTGTTCCTCATCCTGATTGGTGCTACAAGACATGTGAATAATAGCCCACTGGTCTCTGAAGTCTTGAGTGCTATGCAAGTACTTGCACATAAAGGCATCGTTAGACACCTGAGGGCATCACCCTATAATAAAGTACAAGTGCAAAAAGTTGTATTTTGTCTAGGACAATCACAGAAGTATATGTAAGATGAGAGTGTCCCAACTGAACAAATCCATTCAAACATGGAGTCTCATATTATAAGGAAATTGTGTTTATTTATTATTATTACTATTCTTTGAATCAAATGAATCCACAGCCCTATACATCTCTATAATTCTTAAAATGAGTGTTGGGCCTTATAGGAATATCTGGGTTACCATCCATAACAGAGGTGTGAAGCCAAGTTTTACTTATGCAGAAAGCAGAGAATAATTCACCTGCTAGCAATTGCATTTGGATTAAAGAATCACAACCAGGGGCAATATACTATAACTAGAATTAATTCATCCACATTCAGGCTTACAGAATATCCACTGTACTCAGGATGACAAAGACATTCCATAATGGTGAATATTGGCAAAATGTAACCCAAAATTCACTTTTAAGATGTACTGGAACATTCTAGTAAACAAGAAATATCAATTGCACAAGTCAATCTGTTAAAGTAGCCATAGCAATATCTGAAGAGCATGATTCATTAAAGTATAAACAACCTTTTCTAGGATCCTCCAAAATATTTAGTATATACAAAATAACAAATAGCCCTGACAGGACAGAAAAGGCATTCTTCTGAAAAAAAAAATAAATCTAAATTAGTCAGGTTAGGTAACAAAACCAGTTAAAAACAGTAGTAACCTTCTCTTGCAGCCCAAATATGGGGGTAGGAAGACAGAATCAGGAAAAAATAAAGCAGAAATATCAGAACGTAGTTCACCCAATGTCAGTAACAAAAACAAATATGATCAAGCAACAAGTTGCAATAGAGAAACAAATCAAAAAATGCCATTCCAGCCATTTTGATCAATGGTTCGAAATCCCGAGTTGTAGAAGAGGAAAGGCTCGAAAGAAGTATTTGAATAATGGAGATAAAAGGAACTATTGGCTTCTTTGACATCTAAAGGCAGTAAATAAGGCAGCTCTGTAGCCAACTGTGGAAGAAGTTAATAAGTCACGGTTATGAAACACAAAAAAATAAGCAAGTTGCTAAGGAATTGAAGATAAACATGACATATAATTAAAGAATGGGCTAACAACACTGATAAATAGTCAGAGAAGAGCATCTGCAAGAATGAGCTAACACTAGAGTCACAGTCAAAGAAAATCCTTCTGTAACAAAGGATTGAACAATAACTAGCCATGAAGTCATACTTTATTGTGAAAAATGAACGTTCAAGATCGTTGTAGATGATGATTCCACTAAGACTGGCTCCCCATGGGATTGTTGTAGAAGATGATTCCGCTAAGACTGGCTCCCCATGGGAATGTTGTAGAAGATGATTCCACTAAGACTGGCTCCCCATGGGAAAGTTAACCTAATAAGGGAAACCATGGTTCAGCAGGTGAAGTGGAGCAAAAAGAAGAATCTGGCATTTTGAGTAACCGATCTTGACCAGAACTCAAGGCAGAATGGAATGTATACAGAAATTGAAATAAAAGTTGATGAATGTAATAATATATCAACCATGGTATATCTGTTATATCCAGTGCTAACTAAGCCTTTCACCCAATACCAGGGCTCATCTGGCTGCCTAGACTACAGCAGACATAGCAGTGGTCTAAACAATTACTTGAATAAGAAATATTTCAGTGTGAAGTAGACTACGTTGGTGAACTATAATTCTTATATTTTATCTAAGTTGTTACACTCCCAGAATTGGGTTTATGATTTTCATACACACCAAATTACTTACTTTAATACCCCAAATTGTTTGTTACTACTATTAATTTTTTTTTTCTTCAAGTAACTATACTCATCAGAAAAACTGAAAATCCAGTAAGCTAGTATTTCTGATCCCAGAGTAGGTCAACTGACAACAGTCTCAATGGGAAAAGACTAAAATACACTTCATGTAAATATAATTATACAATTAATTCATCCTCTTTCTAATGTTGTTCTCACCTCTTTAACTATTTGAGCTCCCTTTTTGGAAACAAATGACAGCTGTTTAATAGCCTCTTCAACTGACATTCCTCTGATCTGAAAAACAACACAAGAAACTTCCATTCAGAAAGATTTGATTAATACATGAGTAATATCATACTATTTTAATTTTAAAATAAGAAGTGCTCGGGTTATAGGGTTTATTAATTTCTAATCAGTTTAAATGATTTTTTTAACTCTATCAGATTAGATGCATCGATCAATGCACCTTTTGTTTGGTTCGTTTTATTGGTTTTCAAATAAACTACTGAATGAAACTTTGTTTTCTATATATAATGTAGCTTTTGCAAACAAGATCTTGTCTTTATATGTGATAGTCGTTTGAGTTCATAACTTTAAAATTTGAGAAGGATATGTTTTAAGAAACAAGGAAAAATGGTTTACTTTGTTGTAGATTTTAATTACTGATTTTTATGTGGTATAAATGAAAAAATTGTCAAGAAACTATATAAAGAGAGCTTAAACAACTGGTATGAATATGGAAACATTTAGTCTACAACTTGCTTTTCAGTAAAAATAAATCATTATATAAAATTAACAAATATAAAAAATGTTTATTCAGTTGAATACACACCCTGCTTAATTACAATAATATAATGATAAGCTAACCAATGTTCAAATTATGTATATTAGTTTAATCCCTTCACTGAGGCTACAGTATTTATTCCTAGTGTAGAACATTTTTTTGTAATTTTGTTATAACATTACAGTTTTTGCTAAATATTTTCAAATCCACAAAAACAGATTGTTAATGATTTCATGATAGATGTTAAGATTTTCTTACACTGAAAATGTATTTCTGATAGGTACTTACCTGCTCTCATACAAAGGCTATCTGGATCGTTGACTGTCCTCTAATCATTGCCAAAATAATTTTAGTAATCAGCACACCAGTCTTTATACCCCACCAGTTTCGTGCCAGTTCTGAACCTGTACATGTCATGTGACAACTCTCCACCAATAGTATTGCACCACCTATAATGCTGCAACAAGCTCCTCCCACTATTCCCACTCAATCCTTACTTTCAAGAACTGGCAGGTACTAGAATAAAAACACCAGTTTTGGTGGGGAAGAAGTGTGTGAGGGAAGGTAAGCACCTATTGAAAACACATTTCAGTGTAAGAAAATGTTAACTTCCGAAACAGACTTACTTCCACATTGCAAAGGTGGAGGTCCGGTGTAGGCACACAAAGAACAAACTAAGCAGAAAGTTACCGCCCACGATGAATGGGTGTGCTCGGAGATGAAAATGAAGCAGACCTGTGGGGCACTACACTACTTCTGGAACAGGTATGCTCTTTGCCCAGAAATTAGAAAATTAACATAAAATGGGCAGAAAAGGTAATGTTTGCACAACTGTAAGAGCATTAAGAAGGTGCAAGCTGTATCAACATCTAAAGAGATAAAAAAAAAATGTAATAACAATAGGTAGCTAGGGCATGTGGACTGTGTTATTGACACCCCAATCATACGTAAACAAAGTGCCATACGTCAAGCAGCCAGAATTACAAAAAAAAAGTGAGCAAACGGTCTTAACCAGACAAACTCCCAAAACCACCATGGGAGCAAGATGTACGACAAACCAAACCTGGCATTAAATGGTCTTGCCATTGCCTCGATTCGACCATAAAAACAGGGAAAGCTGTAACCATTATTATCGGCAAAATCATAACCATAAATGCAGGGTAGTGAAATCCTATATCTAGAGTTATGAGGAGGACAAGCAGCATTAGCCCAACTGTAGGATCAGAACACAGACGAAGTCTCTCAAACCAAACCACAGAAGCAAGAAAGAATTAAAAGGAAATACAACAGTAGGGAACCAGCTTCACCCTCTTCTCCTGAGTGGATAAAAAAACATAATTACAGTAACACTCAGGAAAAAGCTTCCATGGTCTATCATCCCAGCAATTGGTAACTGTGAGTGGTAAGGATTTCCATGTTTCACTTAAAGAAAAAAAAGGGGAAGAAGGCGGTGGTACAGGAGACGGTGCAATAGATGACCGTGTTTACCTATTTTGAAAAGCAGACCAAACCCAATTAAGGAATCAAGGAGTCAACAGGGATGGACAGAAATCTCCTGCTGCTTTACTCATGAAGTCTATAAGTAACAATTCACTAAAGATATAATTATAATACATAGATATACACATACATCACCAGAAAAGTGCCCATGGTATATCAGAAACACCCCATTTCAACTGTGAGCATTAGATAGTTACTGCATTTAGAGTGGGTTTGAGACAAAGCATACCTGACCATGCAACACTCACCACTAGGTGGGATCCATAAAGCAACTTAGGGAAGTTGAAAAAAAAACATAAAAAAAAAAGAAATGAGCAGACTTACTCCAGTTAAAGTCAAATGGACGTGTGCAGAATCACCACGGGAGGAAGATAATATCCACCAGAGGAAACAACAGCCAGATTGTGCAGATAATGAGCGATGAAGGTATTAGGAGTTGTCCACATAGTAAGACATGGTAATGTGATGAATTTGATGTTAAGAGACATTGTGGAGATGGTGATGTTCCATGGACAAGTCCAAATACACCATCCTGGTGAGTTGACAAACCCAACCAGTGAGAGTTACTGGAGAAAGATTGCAAGGAACAGAAGGGTCCTAAGGAATAAATAGGGTGGAATATGAACCTCGAAAGGAGGCAGTTCAAGTCGCTTAATACCTCAAGGATCACACCGGACAAAGACGCATATCTTGATTGGAACAGGAGTACAGGCGGGTAATAGAAGGTAAGGAATTGGGTGAGAAAGACACACCACCTTCCCAGGACATATATGTATTAAACAGGAAAAACCGGTCATGGTAGAGGATCCCACAAGATGAATGGTAAAGGGTGTGAGAAACATTTAATGACATAAATCTTGGAACAATGGCATCAACAGGCAAGGAGAAGAAGGAAATAGGTCTTAAGGGATAGATGGTACAAGGAACACGTAGCAATTGGTTTATAGAGAGAGAATGAGAAAGGACATAAAAGACTATATTAAGATCCCAATGCAGTACAACAAAGGGATGTGGAGGATGAACAAAATGGAAGGAAAAGCAGAGAAGTAATAGAGGAGGACAAAACGTTACAGAACCATGAAAAATGGAAGGTGTTTGATAGGGCCACTTGATAACTGAACACAGTCGAAATGGAAAAGCCCTAGTCACACAACCAAGTGATGAATTGGGAAAGCTGAAGAACAGAAGGATGGGAGGGACAGAAGCCACACCAAAGAGACCAAGATTGGAAGGAAAACAAATGTCATTGGTAGACAGACAAGGAAGAAGGTCTGATGGTTTGGGAAAGGAAAGACGCTATACGAGGAGTAAGTCCCTGAGCTGAGGAGAGGGACCGGATGAAAGCTAGGCGTGAAGACAGAGTCCGGTGACATTGGGATGAACTACATCCAATCAAGGTTGATGGAATAGAGATTAAAACAGAGGTAAGGGCAGGGGACATTGCACAAGTAAAGGCCAAAGTAGAGGGAACCAAAACTGTGCAAACCAATATGAAGCAACCAGCAGGACGAGACAAAGAGTGGTCCAATCCTGAATGAATGCATCTACACTCAGAGCTAATAGGTATGGAATGGGAGATCGAAATGAAGAAAGTTTCGTGTTCTAGTGTGTGGCAAAGGCATCAATAAGCAGTGTTCCCAGTTGAGAACACACCCACTGAAAAACCTGTGGATGAAGGGACCACTCTCTGGGGAGAACCTATTTGGGATGAGATAAATGATCAGCAACCAGATTCATGGCTCCAATAACATGGCAAGCTAATACCACCATATTGTGATCATAGGCCCAGAAAAGAAGAGGATCAAGAGTCTGAAAAAACAGAGATCTAGATTTAGTTCCACCTTGCTTGGTGATGCAGTTGACTGCAATGGAATTGTTGGAGTGGACCATAACCACCTGGTCCTGCAGGAGTGGCAGGAAATGGGTCAAAGGCCAAAGGATTGCCAAAAGCTCAAGAATATTGATGTGGAGTGCAGACTGCTCTACAGACTGATTTTGGATGAGGGGAGAATGGAAACTCACACCATGATCTGATCCCTGTTGAGCTACCAAGCTAGGTCTGCCCTGATCACAGAAGGAAGAGTAACAGGATGGTCCAAGGAATCCAGAGAGAAGTTCTACTGATCAAGAAGTGTCCACTGAAGTGAACATATATGAACCTGACCCATGGGAATGAGAGCTTACAAGAAAGCCCACATCCCCAAAAGAAATAGAACCTCTCAAGTCATGAAAGAAGGAGAGGTAAGGACCTTTGTGACTGCCCATTCCTTATCCCAAGATGAAGAGAAAAAGGCCAGGCCCAACTGAGGTGTTAATTGAAGAAAACCTCAAAATGAACCAGATACGGAGTGGGGGTAAGAACAGACTTCTCCAATTTGATCAGAAAACTCACCCGTGCTGCTTCCTGTAGAAGGAAATATGTGATTCACTGATTGTGAATGGTGCTAGGCAAGCAGGAGTCATGATCCATATAATGATGAGTGAGTGAAGGTGATGAGCAAATGAGTGAACAAATCAACAAAACACATATGGAGCTGAAGAGAGACCGAAGAGCAGTGCCCTGAACTGGAACACTCGACCCTCATGGAGGAACCGAAGAAAACAATGAGACTCTGGAACAATGGAAGTGTGAAAATAGCCATCTGTTATGTCAAATTTGGTCACCCAGAGTCTCAGGGAAAACAACCACCAAAGTGAGAAATAGGACTTCATGGTGAAGCAAGGAGACTCCAGAAAGGAATTCAGCCAGGACAAATCTATTTGGAGGCCATAAAGAGATGGGAATAAAAACCTGGATGAGTGGGAACCACCTGCTCGATAGCTTTCTTGTGTAAGAGGTCTTGAATAGCCTTGGAAAGAAAAATGAGAGAGGAAAGATCCCAAGAAGGAGGAGGAAAGAGAATGGGGTATGGGGACTGGAACAGAAAGAAGAAACCTTCCGACAGAACCTGTAGAAGTTACAGATCTGTTGTGAAGTGCCAACACATGGTTGAGAAGTGGAGCAATCTGGCTCCCATTGAGCAGGGAACCTCTGACATGTCATTGATAAAGCTTGTATCCGTCCAAATGAGCTTGGGTAAAACAAGGATAAGGATGGGAATGCCTTGAGGAAGGTAAAGGATGGAGTGAGGAAGGAGGAAAGGAAGGAACCAGCATAGGTGAATCCTGAGAGATAAGAGGAGGACGAGACAAACGTGTGGCTAGGGAGGAAAAGGAGGAATGCAACCTAGCTACATCAATCTGTGATTCTATGGAATCTGAATTACCCCAAAGACAGAATTATGTGGAAAAAGGGCCTCTGTGAGATATTATAGGGAGAAAAGGGGGAGACAAACACCTTTCAGTAAAGAATTCTTCCCTAAAAAGTCTCAACAGCAAAGCAGCCAGGTATTGAGGGAAAGGGCAGAGGCCAATAAATGAGCCATGGTGGCCCAAAGGAGAGTCATGAGCTCTTCTGAAAAGACATCAGGAGATTGATGAAAGGCCTCAGACTTTAATTGGAGGGAGGAATGGTAGTGTAAATCTGAAATCAGGGAAAGGCAAATCCTAGAAAATTGCTTATGATTAAAGTGGACTGAATCCCTAGGATTCAAGCCCCACAGAGGAAGGAGAGGATCTAAACATTGAAAATCCAAAAAGAGATCTGAGGCACAATGATAAGCCAAGGCATATTGATTCAACAATATGAAGTATGGCTGACTGTAGTTGGTTAGAAAATCTCTGAGAAAGAACATGAATGGCGAGAGGAGGAAAAACAATAATCAGAAGGTGGACTTTCACCCAATAAAGCAGGGAAGGAATCATAGGGTATAGGGGAAACACCTAAAACATGACATACCTGATTTACAAGTTGTAGGAAGGGAGTGGAAGGTAAAATGTCCTGAACAGGTGACAGATTAAAAAAGGAGGGTGCTATAAAAATAGTCCAAATTTTTCTTCCTCATGATGGTAGACTTCCTAAGAAATGTGGTCATGTGGATGAGAAGAAGAAGAAATCGCCAGCTGAATGTAACACCCTAACTCCCTGTTAACCAAGGCTTGAATTTCCTCAGCAGATAAAGTCAATCCTGTGTTCTGGGAAGTCATGCCACATGCGTTGTCAACTATGGCAGGAATATCATTCCACCACATTAATTCTCAAATTCATATTAAAAACATACAATTTGAAATCAAGAGTTTAGTTAAATGCAAAATTGTAGAAACCATCAGAAACAACTGAACACAAATGCAAAATTAAAAAACTTGTGAGATTAAACTTTGACTTAAAAGGAAACAAAGCACAGTCAAAAACTGTAATCACACTCGGGAAAAATCAGAAGTACATTTATCAGTACAGGAAAATTATAACTTCCAATACCATACATCACCTCTTCTCACATAAGTATCTACAATCTCACATTGAATAGGTGGAGGGACTAGTGTGAGGGAAAGAAAGAAGCATTCTTCAAAAGTGTCCAAAGGACACTCCCCAAAAGGAGATCTTCAAAGTTGAAGATCATATGTGTCAGACCACACCACTTCTGAACCTATGGAAAGATGTCGCATATATGGGCAGAAAAATGGAGGAGCACATCCAAATGAGAGAGAACTATGGCACATGGGTGATCCAAACCATATGTAATTTATTAAAGTAATGACACTCAATCCCAGAAAACAAAAAAGTTGGTAAAGTTAAAAGATGCACCTCTAGGTGTAGAGTGGCTAGGGTATGACTGACTGTACATGTCAAATCAAATGCATCCAAAGCTCATGACGCATGGAACCAACATCCACATGGGGGTAGGATGAGTATCATATTATTGGTAGGTCAACTACAATCCAAAACCTAGCCACCGGGTACCGACATATAAGTGAGGGTAGGAAAGAGGATCATACTGATGGCGAGTCAACTACAATCAAAAACCCAGCCAACTGATAGGGGTAGGAAAGAGAATCATACCATCTTCACTTCAAGTTCATAAGACCAGAGGGAATCTCATACCCCCAGGTTCATGAACTGGCACATGTTATTATTTTATAAAAATAGGAGAAATTGAATGATCGATCCGGGAACCCGACATCCAGCAAAGAAAAGATGTCTGTGTAATATAAACCATCTCACTCAAATATATAATGACAGGAATTGTCCCAAGTGCAGCAACATCCATGGAACAATAATCATTGAGGGATAGTGAAAGGGGAAGAACCATAGTAATCTGGAAGTACTTCCACTGTGACCCACTACAAGGATGGAGTAACAAGAGAACAAGGGAATAGAGACATCTGTAATACATGTGTGAGGACTTATGTTGATTGGTTCAACTACAAATCCAAAACCAAGCTGCTGGAAACTGATATCCACAATAGGGTAAGATGAGGGATCCCAATCAAAGGGGTGAACTGCAATTTTGACAGCTCACTCCCATGTTACATAGTGGAGGATACCTTGTCATTTACACCAGCAGAACACCACAACCCTACTCTCAATTGAATGGATTTATAATCATTTACATACATATTTGTATTTAATTATCACATGATCACAAGAGGATGCCTCGACGGTCCACCACCTCAGCAGCTTGAAATTGGTAAGGACTCTCAAACTCCACTACAAGAAAAGGGAAAGAAAGTATGGTGGAAAGCCCAGAGAAATGACAATACCCAAGACAGCGCAATAAATGACCATGAAACCCTATTTTGAAAAGCAGACCATACTGATTTATTTAATGCAAAGCACGGCAGGGATGGACAAATTTTAAGAAATAAACAAAACATCACATACCTGAGAAATAATGTCTATTAGGCATAGCTGATTCCAAAAGTGGGACATAGGAAGACACGGCAAAATTCGGTGGGGGAAAAAGGCTATCAAAATCCTCGTCAGCCTGAACAGGCTTGGCATGTTCAGGAGAAAGTGGGACAAGTTTAAAAGAAGAAGGTTGACCCATATAACGATCAGTTTCTCAGCAGATAATCACAGATAAATCCAATGATGGGTCTCCCCCAACTGCAGCATGTGAAATAATGCTAGTGGGAGGTATGATACACAAAATGGTAACATTAACCTCAAAATTCATAGTTGAAATATAAATAAAAAAAATTTGTTTGATGTAAAAAAAATCGAGAGTGAGAGAAAAAAAAAGACTGGGAAATTAAGTGAACTAAAAAATTATTCCACATAGTATAAAAAACAATTAATGAAGAAAGTTCACTTCGGAAATTAAATTAATAAAACTCACGAATGCGATTCATATGAACAGCACCAAAAACAAAAAACGTCTTGACACAAGAATTGCCAAATCAGAAGCAATAATTCGGTAGAATTGAATAGAGGGAGTCACATGCGTAAAGAGAGTGTGTCGTGCTCTTATTGGTAGAGTGTTGTCGCATGATGCACTGATGCAAGATGTACTGGAATTAGTCAATTCCAAATGGGTGGAAGTTGCAAGACCTGTGGCATGAGCAATTTTTTTGCATATAGAGGGCAGCACTGAATGAGAATAAGTGAATTTATGGTAAAATTCATACATTTAATGAGATATACCACAGGCACTAGAGCACAATGCAGTAAAAAGCCTAGGAAATGAATGTATTGAGTAAGTCTTTGCAGCAGTAAATAGCACAGAATTACTTTTCATTCTTTAATTTTAATGAAAAATAAAAAAGGATATCAATGTACTTAAACTGAGATACTCACCATTGTTGCCACATACCACATTTTATCAGGGGAATATTTTATCTGATTTCGATAATGACAAACAAACTGTAAAAAAAAAAAAAGGCAATTAATCAATACATTGATTTCTTCATACTGTTTGCTTAATGCCTGAACATAAAACTCTAGCTTGATTATATCAAAACAACTTAATAACTCATAAAATGATAGGAAAATTATGATACCTAAAAATCATTTCCAGATATAATTTTAATAACAAACTATTTTAAGTTGTTTTCATGGAACATAATTAATTATCTGTAATATTTTATAGCAGTTTCAAGCACTGCCTTTTAAGAAAACAAGAGGATAAAGGAGTAATTAAAAACATTAATTCTTAATGCTAATGTATTACTGTGGTCAAATTTTCACACTTCCTGCTGAAAATGATATAAAATTAAGTTTTGAAGTCCTATCAAATCCCATCAAACTAATCTTGTAAAACAGCATTCTGTACATGTCAAACAGTGTGATAAATAATTGTACAATGTTATCTACAGGATACGTAGCACTAATGCTAATCATGTAAAACAGCATTCTCTGCTACACCTACAAGTTAAACAGTTTGATAAATAACTGTACAGTGTTAGCTACAAGACATGTAATGCCAAAACTAATCATGTAAAACAGCATTCTGCGCTACTCCTATGTGTAAAACAGTTTGATAAATAATTCTACAGTGCTATCTACAGAATATGTAACACCAAAACTAATCATGTAAAACAGCATTCTCCGAAACTAGTCTGGCTCACAGACACACACCCAATGAAAGAATAGATCATTCCAAGCTTTTACTTGTTGTTAAACAAATCTATTCAATTATGTACCAGCTGCCTAGTGTCGGCTAACAATACGAAGAATTATATTGTGGCGGAATGCTACAAGTTCTTCAAATACTTAGAGAATGATAGGTTTCTTTTTGTGAGTGTAAAAACACTGAAATATACAATTTTGAATCTTGTACTATAATTGTACATGCCATCTGATTTATCTATATATAGTTAATTAAATAATATCTTATTTAGAGAACTTAGGGAAATAAAACAGCTGTACATCTCCCAAGTATTTCCTTCATTATGATCATGGTTTAACCAATAAAGACATCATCAGGTTCAGACTGAAATAGCTTGTAAACAGGTGTATGTGTGTGTGTGTTTAAGCAAAGAACTGGAAAGAACCTTGAAATTCATCCTGAAGGAAGTGAGGAGGAGCTTAATTTAATTTGTTTGTTTAGAACTTTGTCTGGATTAATTTTTATACTTCTATTCATTTCTAAAATTCCCATGTTACTTAGTTTTTTACATTTTTCACAGACATGTAAGATACTGGTATTTACTTTTGCATAAAGCATGATGCAACAGTTAAGGAATGTTATAATTTTCCTATATTGAAAATGTATTTCTGAAAGGTACTTCCCTCTCAAAAATAGCTATTCTCGTTGGAGATGGCTTGAATGAGTAATGAAGAAAAACTTTAATATAAGTTTCACATAACAACAAATGTACAATGTTTCGACAAGGTTTTGTCATCATCAGGTACAAGTTGTTTACACTGACACAGATATATATATATATACAGTATTGAACAAAAAAGTCACATGACCAGAACTGATGATAAAAAGCCATGGATGATAAAAAGGGAGTCAACATGGCTGTACAGTGCAGATTTAGAGTTAAAGAATACCTGGCCAGGTACAGAGCGGGATTCATGTAAGGGCTGTATGAAGGATGGGCCCCTGATATAAAATAAAGCATTAAAAGAGACCTACCCAGTTTTAGAGTCACACCAAAGTTTGAAGAACAGCCACAGGTGGAAGGCGAAAACCCGAGGAATCTGAATATGATGTAAATAATGAGAGATGTTAGTGGTGGTCCACATGCCTGATTGCAGGATTTCCTCCAACAGCTGACGAAGATGAGAAGCGAGAGAAAAGGTGAGGTGTTGGATTTGATGAGAAGTTACTCTGAACAAATTCTGGTGAGACAAGGAGGAATAAGCCAACTGTATCAGACGATGAACCCAATTGGTGAGGGTAGAAGGTGACAGATCTCTAGATGAAGAAGACTGCCATGAGGTAAAAGGTTGGGAATGTGAACCATGGAAGAAAGCCATGTGGGCAACATAACAATGAAGGGCATGCACCAGACTTATAAGTTTCTCCAGATCAGGATGACAGTAGAAATGAGAAATAGAGGGAAGGAAAATATGGAAAAGGAGGAGTACCCTCTCAAGCCACTGAGGTTTTTGGGAGGAAGGAACGATCCAGATAAATGAGAAGATAAATATGGTGGTAAAGTTTGCGTGTAACACTGATGGCAAATTAGTCAGACCATCAATGACCACAGGCCAAGAGAAGGAAATACACTTTAAGGATAAGGTGAAACACAGAACACAAGGAAAGAGGTTCGAATGGAGGTAAAGTAAGAGAATGGAGGATCACATAAATATCCCAGTCCAGAAGAGTAAGTCATTGGGGAGGAAGACGAATCTGGAAGGAACGGATTAACATGGTAAGGAAGGGTAAATCAAAGACTCTCTATGGTAATGGGAAAGACAGAAAGTAAGGAACAATGCTGCCCGATAACCTGAAATTAAGGAGACCAAAGACCCCTGGTCAAAAAGCCACATGAGAAACTCGGAGACACCAGCCACAGTAGGTCGAGCAGCTGGAAATCCCCAAGCATGGGACCATGTGTGAAAGACTTTCCACTTCCGTTGATATGCTTCCACAGAAGAAGGATGTATGGATTGAGCCAAATGGAAAGCTACATGATCAGAGAAACAAGATCTCCCTGCCAAAGTGTAAAGATGGAGGACATGAACATCGAGATGTAGAACTGGTGACTGGCGCTGATGAACAAGGTCGGGGAATAAGGGAGGTGGTACGGGAGAGAATAAATGGAGTTGGTGCAAAGAAGGAAACCACAATTGAGCTGGCCAATAGGGAGCTATTAGAAGGACCTAGCACAGAGTGGCATGGATAAGGGAAACCATCCATTGAAGCAATCAGATAGGAGATTAAACATATTGGAATTTGTGTGACCAATCTTGGCTGAAGTCATCAATAACTAAAACCTGAGGATGAGGTACAAGGATCAAAAGAAGGGTAACTTGTGATTCAGGATGGTGGTAAATGCATCGATGTGAGGAAATCCCACTGATTGCAAAGCCACCGAAAAACGAGAGGATGAAGGGACCACTCTGTCGAATAAATTTTGTCAGGGCATGAAATATAATCTGCCACTAGACATGACACGCAATTAAATGGATGTGGTGTGCATAGGCCCAATAGAATGAGATCCAATGTACAAAAACAGAGGGATCTTGACCGGGTGCCACCTTGGTGATTTATATATGCCACCACCATCAAATTGTCAGAATAAATCATCAATAGACAATGTTTGGTTAGAGGGAGGAAATGATCCAAAGCCCGACAGAGGGCTAAAAGCTCTAGGATATAGATATGGAATGACTGTTCATCTACAGAACAATGACCCAATGCTTCACGGTGATTGACCCATGCACCCAGCCCTGAAGGGATGTTCCATAAACAAATGTAAATCTGGATGAGGAGGAGGAAGTGGGACTAACCCAATGTGTGTGTCTTGTCAAACCACCAAATCAGATCATCTGCTAGGGAAGGAGGAAGTGTAACAGGACCATCCAATGGACCCAGAGCAAGGTTCCATTGCTTGTGCAGAGTCCACTGTAGGAAATGCATGTGTGCACGACCTAGGGTTTCATAGAAGACCACATCCCCAAAAGCAATAGAACCTCACATGCAGAAAGTGAGGGAGCAGGGAGGGCATGACAATTTCAAAGAATGAAGTCAGAGAGGAGAAGGTTGGGCACAACTGAGGTGAGTGTTGACACTCAAATATACAAGGTATTGGGTAGGATTAATTTGATTAACCAGCCCACCTGAGCAGCCACTTGAAGGAGCTGACGAGTATAACTGACTGACTCCCTGTCAGAATGGGACAGAAGAAGCCAGTCGTCTACGTAATAATGGAAATGCAGCCCCAGGGCATGAAAATGATGAGCAAAAGCCCTTACCACCCGACAGAAAACATAAGGTGCAGAAGCAAGCCTGAAGGGTAGAGCGCAAAACTGGTACACCACGCCATGGTGGACAAGACCATGTTAAGACAGGAATGTGCAGGTAAGCATTGTCAACATTTATCTTAGTCATCCATAAACCTGGAGAAAATGCCTACCGGAGGGTGAGATTGGACTCCTTGGTGAAACGTGTGAGGTGAATGATGCATTTGAGGTGGTACAAATCTATGACAGGAACAACAAATAGACAGAAGTAATACCTTGGTGAATGATGGGTAACAGATTCAATAATCTATTGAGTGAGGAGGTCCTGCACTGCCTCTGATTGACACTGACAAACAACAGGATCCCAAGATGAATGGAATGAAATTGGTAAAGGGGACAAGGGAGATATGACAAGAAATTAGATCTTGAATCCTTCCGACAAAACTTGAAGAACCCAAACATCACTGATGATGAAAGGCCACAAGTCCAGTTCCCACTGGACCAGAATCCACCAGAACTGTTGGCAAAATATTGTGCATTATCGAGAAAAATGACGAACTGTGGCACATCGAGAAAGAGAGATGGGCAAGGGTTGGGAAGGAGAAGGACGGGAAATTGGAACTGGTGCCACACTTTGCTCCAAATTAGACAAACAGGTTACCAGATGGGGAAGGGTAGACTGTTGTTGGATGATGCCACCTGAGATTCCAAGGACTCTGGGACCATATCAAAGATGAAACGCCATAAAAATGGAGACATACATAAATCTCAAAGATAAGGTGCAGGTAAACAGGTCCTTGATAAGACAGCATCCCAACCTAGAATGTCCCAACAACAGAGAAACCACGTATCTAAAGCCAGAGCTAAAGATGACAAATGAGTCAACATGGAGGTAAGGAGGGAGAGGATGTCCCCAGAAAACCCCTCAGGTTTTCTGCAAAAAGCCCCAGGCAGGAGATAAATCGTGGAAGATACTCAAAAGAATCGTTAGGGTAAAACGTAGGTGGGAAAATTGGGCATGGGTTAAACTAATAGGGAATTCAGGGCCTGCCCCCCAAACAGGTAAAACAGAAAGAAAGGCACATGGTCGAGATAAGGACAGTCTGCACAATAATAAGCAAGGGCAGACTAATCCAAAGCCCGTGGAGGACAAGGCATGCTAATGCTGTTGTGTAACTGAGAGGCAAATTGTTCAGCTGAGACCCGAATGTCAAGGGATGGGGGAAAAACCAAATACAGTTGGGAAGAATGTTCATGCAGTAAGGAAAGATATGGGACATAAGAAATAGGAGCAAGGGATAAAACATCACATACCTGAAAAATAAAGTCAGAAAAACCATGGAATCCTGAACTGAATCCTCAGGAGGGTTATGGGAAGGTTCAGCAAATTCAGGAGGTGAATACAGGAAATAAAAGTCCTCATCAGCCTGCACAGGTTCAAGAGGAAGTGGGGCAATGTCCGGAAATAGAGGTTGACCCCTCTAAAGTTCAGTATTCCTGTGAATAAATTGGGCATGGGTTAAACTAACAGGGAATTCAAGGCCAGCCCCAAATGGGTAAAACAGAACCCAACAGTTGCTGGTCGAGATAAGGACAGTCTGTATGATGATAAGCGAGGGCAGACTGATTCAAAACCTATGGGGGATGAGGCATGCTAATGCTGTCATGTAACTGAGAGGCAAATTATTTAGCATAGACCCAAATGTTCATGCAGTAAAGAAAGACATGGGTCATAAGAAATAGAAGCGAGGGATAAAACATCACAAACCTGAGAAATAAAATCTGAAAAACTGTGAAAGGTCAACCTGAATCGTCACGAAAGGTATGGAAAGGCACGGCAAATTCAGGAGGTGGAAACAGGTGATCAAAGTCCTTGTCAGCCTGCACGTTTTAACAGGAATAGGGGCAATGTCTGGATATAGAGGTTGACCCATATAATGTTCAATCTCCCTGTGAGTAAATGTCGAAAAATCTCCCATCAGGTCGCCTGCACCTGAAGCCTGTGATAAAGTGCCTGTCAAAATTGAGACACCTAAAGTGGTGACATTGACTTCAGAATTCAATAGTCGACAACATCAAATGTATTAAATAAAGGCTACTATAATCAGATAGAATTAATGGAATGCTCAAGAAAACTGGATATATTAAAAAATTATAACCACTTTGAGAAATAACTATAGATCAAACTGAAAGCAAGACAAAAAAGAAAAATGTCAGAGTACAAGTGCTGCCAAATGATAAGTGATAGTTCAGTAGAGGTGCATAGAGGGAGTTACATGCATCACCTGAGTGTACTGTGTTCCTATTGATGGATATGTGATGCATGAGACACACGTTGGAATCACTTGATTCCAAAAGGGAGGAGCAGAAGGCTTGTGGCATGTGTAAAGAAAAAGTTTGCATATGAATGAGAATAGCTAATCTTGTGAGTGGAGGGTAGTACTGTATTGGAATTTGCCTATTTCCAGCTTCTTGAATGTTCTTTAATTCTTCTTTCTATCGGACGGCCTGTCTGACCTACATATAAACTATTGCAGTCATGACATGTTAATTGGTAAGCACCATTTTTTATTTTGTCTCTGTGTATAGAATTGTTTAGTGTATTATACATTCTGTGAAAAGCTTTCCAATTTACCTGATGTTGCTTTTACTGGCAAAAAAAAAGTCTAAATAAATGAAATATTTGTGAAACATACAATCGTTTCTGTTTTTTTCAATTCTATAATTATGGCATTTCACCAAGTAGCAACAGTTTCAAATATAAATTAACATTTTCTTTCTCTAAGATTACTACTATATCTATATAATAAACTATTTGTACTTTTTCACACATCTGACTTACTTATGCTTATAATGCACAATGACAATAGTTTACCAGTTCATATCTATAAATCATTAGATCTCTCTATACATACATTTTTCAAGTTTATTTTGGTAAATAAACTTTAGTTTTTTAATCTTGAGATTCTTCTGTTAGTTATTAATGATCTCTAGGATACCCATACATCTGTATAACAAATCTAGCGTAACAGACCTGCTGATTTAAAGAGGTATAATAAATCCAGTGTAACAGACCTGCTGGTTTAAACGGGTATAACAAATCCAGTGTAACAGACCTGCTGGTTTAAATGGGTATAACAAATCCAGTGTAACAGACCTGCTGATTTAAAAAGGTATAAACAATCCAGTGTAACAGACATGATGGTTTAAACAGGTATAACAAATTCAGTATAACACACCTGATGGTTTAAACAGGTATAAATCATCCAGTGTAACAGACCTGCTGATTTAAACAGGTATAAACGATCCAGTGTAACAGACCTGCTGATTTAAACAGGTATCAGTGATCCAGTAAACGTATAACAAAAGTGACTTTGCATCTATTTAAAGACCTTTCTTCTGACAGAAAATACAGGAATAAAAATTACAATAAATGTTGAGAACAGCACATTAAAACCATCTCCATTTTAAATATTAATTATTACAAAGTTGAAAAGCAGTTATTTCAAATATATATTTCTACACTGAAAATATATATTTCATTACAGTGGAAAAAACCCATAAATCTTTAAGTGAAAAAAAACAGAGATTTTAATGGCTCACATTTGTTTACAGCAAGAAGCATACATGAATTGAAATTAAACTGAAAAAGAAAAATTTGGAAAAAGAAAAAAAAATAAGTTGTGTATATATGAGGCTGGCAACTGATAATATATAATAATGTAAACATGAGTTATGTTTGTGCTTTTCAGCAACAATTTTAGGAAAAAAACAACAAAGCAATCTTCTCATTTAAAAAACCAAAGAACTGGTATTCAATACTTGAACTTACTGCTGGCCTTCTTTCTTCTCCAGGGGCTTGTGGAGGAAAAACTTCATCATTTTTCTTAGGCCACTTTTTGGCTCCTGGAATATGTTTTGTCCAACATACTGATCCTACATGAAAATTTGAAGATTGCTGAGCTCCTTGCCATAATGATGGGAATAGAATGTTAGTAAGCGTTACTTGTTGATAGCATCTTGATCTAACTTGTCCCAATTGCCTCAGTGTTTGACACATAATCTTGATGGCTGAAAAACGAAAAATTAGTTCAATACAAAATTTGTTGAATCTGCTATCAAAATCCTAGAAACAAAGTTCAATTTCAGACTCAAAGAACACGACTTATAAGAGTCCAGAAATGTTCTAGAAATCGAGTTCTATTTAGCACATCTCTATGTATGATGAAAATGGGAGAAAATACTAGGTGGTACAATGAAATTTTTAGATGCCATGGCAACATGGCACTCAAGATTTGTCAAGGCCTGACCTAGTCCAGAGCATTAATCTACATCTCCCATGCTAGTTTATACATTTTGAGCAACAGAACTATGTAGTGTTCAGATAATTTGATAGAACTGCAGACAGAAAATAACAGTTGCCCATTATAAGATAATAACAATGTTTTTATGGTGGTACATAAATTAATAATAATATGCCAATGACTTTGCCATCTGGAGCACATCACGTGATCTGCTCACCACTGTGTCTAGAGTCCAAGATGCATTAAATCAATTAGTTAAATGGTGTAACAAATGGAGAGTACTTCTCAACCAAATCAAAACACAGGCAATAGCATTTCACAGAAAAATAGGAAGACGATACAAGAAAATCAGAAAACTCAAAACCCACAATATACAACAACACAATCACCTTTAAGACTACCACCACATTTTTAAGTATCACATTAAATTCCCACCTATCATAGACCACTCACTATAACAAATTAATTCTGAGACCTAAAAGATTTTTAAATCCAAATTCCTGCCATGAATTTAATTTGATTTGAATCCATGGACCCACTAGCAATATGGCGCAATTCGACAATAACCCTATAAGTAGTTCAGAAACCTACATCTCTTCTGTACCACTTATCATGTTTCTTTGTCAATTTTCTTTCTTGTACTGACTGTCAGGTTTAGTAAACAATATTTTAGCACAAAACGAGACTACAAGTAGATGCTAAAGCCCCAGAGTTGCAACAATTATTAATAGCACTATTGTAGTTGGCCCTAGTACTGGTATTTAATAGTTTCATACCTGGGAACTTTTTGATTCAGCTGGCTCTCAGACCCTTGATAAATGATCCCACCCCTTACTATTTTGATCATTTTTAAACAAAGGCAAATGTAAAGCATTTTTTGTAATCATTACAGCTCTGATATCTTACATTCAGCTACTGATGCCTGTTGGATTCATTAGCTGTTATTCTGTAACTTGTAAATGAATGCAAAGAGCCATTTCAGACCTATTTATCAACTCAACACAGTACCTGATCAGGTACAACAAATGTTTTTGATATATATCATATGACTCAACCCAACTCAAAACAACAACTGATCAAAGGGCACATTCCAAATTCAACAATACTAATCAGCATTGGAGCAACTATGACATCAATGTTTCTTTTTTGGAATTAAGCATAAAGCTACACAACAGGCTATCTGTGCTCTGCCCACCACGGGTATCGAAAGCCAATTTCTAGCAGTATAAGTCTGCAGATATACCTCTGTACCACTGGGGGCCATGACATCAATAAGGGTTCAACACTAACTGTAAATCTGGAATGCATAGTTCATAGTTTAATATGATGGACATTACGCAAAAGTTTTCAGAATAACTGGAATTCACACAACACTGGGATATAAATGCAGTAAAATAAAATCTCTGTAAAAACACAAAACCAAAATTATTTTATTTAGCAATGTTTTGAGCAACTGCTCTTTGTCAAATGTAATTCATTTTCATATTAAGTGTGAGGAAGAAATGGAAGAAAAAATAATTGTTTTCCTACTTAAACAGTTTTACAGAGATTCTATTTTAAAAGAACAAAAGTTGTTGCATGCACATTTACAGTAAACTGTGAGTCCTCTACCACAGGTGTCACATCCTTCGAACTAAGTAATTCAGAGAAACTGCCATATTGCATTTTTCAATATCAATGCTCCTATGGATCATTCAGTGTGTTCAGCTAACGTTGAATCAACATCGGAAATTAATCATCACAAAACTGACTTTAGTTTAGGTGCATGGTATGCCAAGGCTGATTTAGCGCCGGAACAATTTTACAGTTAAAAACAAAACAAATACTCAGTACTCAGCAAGCAGTTCCACGGAGTTTGAGCCGTGGTACTTCTACTAGTGATGGTGGTAACTTTAAATTAAAGTTCTGGCCAAGAGTCCCCAAGAATTTATTAAAATTTAAAGATTAAATTATTTAAAGTTTAATAAAATCTCTGAGACTATTGGACAGATCTGGAATGTTTTTGGGTATATGTAATTCCCAGTACCAGTGCAATAAGACTAGGGTTGATATAATGTATTATAATTTAAACAAAAAACATAAACTAAAATCATTTCGAAATACCTTAAACATATTAGTCGATAAAAATAGAAAAAACTTACAGGATATCGAAGCGACCATCTTGTTTTTAACTGATAGCTCCCTCTCTAGTTGCTTTAAAAGAATAGGTATAAAATGAAATAGAAAATTACTTTTAGGTGGCGTATATTTATATACGTGTGCGTGTGTATACAATAGAATTAAAATGTATAAGCAATACAGATGTACTGTAACTCTTAATTGGATAAATAATTAGTAAAAGTTACAGCATTTATAATAAACAACTGTAGTAATTAATTTTATAATTAGCTGAACTGCTTCTGTGGGTAGTATTGTTACGACAGCGGGGGTCACGTGAACTAGTAACATGTCATATTCTCGAACGTTCACATCCCTTCCTGAAGTCTCGGGAGGTTACTAGATATGCGGTATTCTTGTATATATAAGACTGGTAAGAATGTAAATGGAATGTGTAATTGACAGTTG